AGCTGATCGGCGGCTCCAAAATGGCCGCCGGACGCGAAAACATCGCTGGAGGGGTAAGTTTGCACACTTATTGGAACGCATTAAACTAAGTTTAATGCGTTCCAATAGGTTTTACTTACCCGCACAGCGATGTTTTCGTATAGCGAAGGTTAATCCGGAACGGATTAACCTCGCTATACGGGGCACCACTGTATATTAAAGTGCCAGATGTTGATCATTGTAAGCTTGAACTGTCGCTGGAGGCAAAAATGTTTAAACTGAGGCTGTCCTACTTTGGGCACATTATGAGAAGGCAGGAGTCTTTGGGAAGAAACTTAATGCTGGGAAAGGTAGATATTATAAGGAAAAGAAGAAAGCCAAATATGAGATGGACTGACTTCCTAAAGGAAACACAGACTTGAGTCTACAAGAGCTGAGCAGGGTGGCTGATGACAGGATGTTTTGGATAATGCTCTTCATAGGGTCACCGTAAGTCAAAAGTGACTTGATGGATGGCACATAACAACAACATGCTTAGTGTAAAGTGGTATATTTGGGGACAAAAATCCTTACTCTGCATTTATGCTGATAGAGTCAGAGTTAGGAGTGGCTCAAAAGTTTTAATTTTCAAAGATTTAGCCACGTTACATTTGAGCGTGGGCTTTTGTGGATGTCTGAAGAAGTGAGTTTATCCCTGAAAGCGCACATTGAAATATAGGAGTTGTTAAGTACTGCAATGTTTGTTTTTAATCTAGATCTGAATGTTTTAAATATCTGTGTGTAATATTGCTGGAAAGATTGTGTGTAAATATATTGCTCCCTGCAGAAAACAACTGTATGGTATAATCTCATTTCTGTTCTGCACGCTTGTGAAATCATATATCGTAAGCTTTTGGGTACCAGTCACAAGCACATTTTTCCAGAAGACACTTATTAAATTCATTAACTGAGTAATTGTAAATTAGGGTAGACCTATAGAAATTACTCTAGACTTTATCTTTGGTAAGTGAATAGCAATCTAACTAGAAATGGCAAATTAAACACGAAGGAATTTATTTTTGTAGATGATGTAGCTGCATTGTAAATATCTGTCCCTTGATAGCCTTATAATCTTTTTCCTCACAATAGACTTATAACTTTTTCAGTCATCTGGCTGACATAATTTGTTAGTAGCTGCATTGTAAATCACTAATACCCTGCTCCTGTGTTCTCTATCAAAGGCTAACAGTGTAAAGCATTTCACTTTAAAACAGTGTTAAGAGTTTGGCATCTGAATGCTTAACCTTTATAGCAACAAAACAGTATACATATACTAAAGGAATAGAAAAAGGAAGAAAAATAATAATCATGTGCTTTTATTGTGCTCCATAAACAAGGGTGGGTAACATTTTTGTGAGACTGCTAAAATTAAACTTAAAAAAGAGGGAAAAGTCCAAATCTTATCTGGTCTATAGTTCTGTAATCCCCAGCTTTGAGAAGAGTCCTGAAGAACTTAAAGGCTAACCAATATTGATATTTTAGTGAATCAGTAAAGGCATTAGCCACTCTTGTGTCTAGACTTGTCACTTTAGGAAGTCTTCCGTAATTTATATGTGAGCACAGAGGAGATGATAGTGATAATATTGCTGAGTGTCTCACAAATTACAGTCCACCATAGAAATCAACAAAATGTGCCTTCCTCTCTGCATTTGTGCAAGTATGCAACTGTGTATCATAATTTACTAATACTGTACATATACTAAATTCCAAGGCTTATAATAGGAACAAAGCATATGATTACTGTATTCTAAGTAAAGCAAAGCAAAAAAGCGTGCTGCTTATATACCGCCCCATAGCACTTCAAGCACTCTCTGGGCGGTTTACAAGTTAATTATGCAGGCTACACATTGTATATTACTGATCATTTGTTTCACATAGGACTGTTGTCAAATACAAGAAATACTTAGCTTACATTTTCATATAGCTTATAATAGCATTTATGAAAGAAGTCTGCATATATCAGAGTTAGAAGGAACACTTCAGTAATGTGTGAGTAAATTTTGCTACATGATGAATATCTTTCAAGATGATGCTTTCTCGTTGCATTTTTTTAAAAAAATAAAGACTGTTTTTGTATCGGATCTGCTGCCACACCAGTTGAGGAAAGTTTTTTGTCCATTAGGTTTTGTCAGTTTCTCTAATGTTAAACATTATAGCTCTGCTTGAGGTTCATCTGTTAATGTGGGTGTGCATACCCTGGTTACTGAAACAGGGACAATGTAACTCTTGTTAGCAGATGACCTCAGTGTTCCAGTTCCATTTGAGGTTGGTGAACAACCTGGGAGAGTTTGAAAACTAAAAACATATTGTTGACCAAGGTTCATATTGGCTCAAATTAATTTGAGTGTCACTGTTGACGTCTCAGAAAAGTAATATTTGTTTGGAAATGGCGTGTCTATATAAAACAGAAATAGTATTTAATGCCTTGATTGTTTCTTCCTATATGGCTTATTTATGATTACACATCTAACTTATCCTGTCAAAGTATCAACAAACACTTTGGTTTTGACTCCTCTTAATAATTTGTGGCCAATTTTTCACTCTGTGAAAATAATCTTGCAAAATCCCAGAGGTATAGTAAATGTATCTCTAACCAGTCATCGACCTTCATATTCATAATACTGTATTGTTTAAAAATGTTGGACGCAATCAGTGGATGCCTGTTTTATTTGCCCTGATCATTTGAGTTGTCTGTCTCATCTCTGGGACTACTCTTATAAATAGCTATGGTTTAGAGGAGCCTTAGATTAAAATTGCCACACATTTCTTATCTGCTTATGATTGTATGGAGCAGTGGTCCTCAACCTTGGCCCTCCAGATGTTCTTGGACTACAACTCCCAGAAGCTTTCACCACCACCTCTGCAGGCCAGGATTTCTGGGAGTTGAAGTCCAAGAACATCTGGAGGCCCAAGGTTGGGGACCACTGGTATGGAGAGTAACCCATAGGTAACTACTTTTCTGGTAGATTGGGTTTGCTTGGGAGTTCTTTATGGATAGTTTAATTGGGTGAGGCATATTTTAAATTAATGGTCATTCTTAATGGGTACACTTTCACATAACACAGTATTTCATGTAACACAATTGTAAGACAAGAGAGATACTCAAAAAGCAATTAATAAAATTAATTATTATTTTTTAAAAAATTAAGGAATTAATAAAATTGATTTGAGTAGGAAGAAAACATTGGACAAGGATCTTCTCCTGATAGTTACTGCTAAAGCTGTCTTTTAGTTATTTCAGTATAGCCATTTCTAATTCCTTAATTATTGTTCTTTTTCTTTTCAGATGTGGAGGCACTGTTGGTGCAATTTTGACATGTCCACTAGAAGTTGTGAAAACACGGTTGCAGTCTTCCTCTGTTACTCTGTATATCTCCGAAGTTCATCTGAATACTGTGAACGGTGTTAGTGTTAATCCTGTAACTAGAGTTTCCCCAGGGCCTCTCCGTTGTTTGAAGTGAGTACAGTACCTGTTTGTTCTTTTTCCCATATATAGTGCTTTCATTTAATCTGTCTGAAAAAAAAACTTATCTTATGTCTCTTAAAAGAGCAGACTTGAGATGTACTTCAGCTATTTTAGTTAGTCCACTTTTTCTTTATCGTTATGCTTTAAATCCTAACATTGAAGTTCTGCTGATGTTCAGTATTTGTTGAATATCTTGTGAACCTGGTCCTGAGAAAATCATGTTCTAGCAATAAAATGCTTCTATTCTCTATCTATATGGCATCTTCTTTTGAAGTTGAATGTAGCTGTACTTAGACTGAAGATCTTGGTAAATAAAATATGAGTCATAGTTGGTTCATAAGTTCCTATACTTTAAGCAAGATCTAATGCCATCTACAAACCAGAATGTGTTACCAAGCCAAAGCCATCTATCGTCATCTCCCTTAATAGATACCAAATGCAAAAGTAGCTCATTATTGTGCTCTGTAATTCTTGTTAGAAGTAAAATGGATTTTTCCTTATCTATCTCCTGTCACATTACTTGTGTCTAAAATTTTAGGTAGTTATTTTTCTTGTGCCCTTCAGACTAGATTAGAGAATATTGGCTTAATTCATTTGTATTGGTTTGCTAATACAATTTTAAAAATCTTAAGATATTATAGAAAGGGCAATGCATTCTTATAAATACATTTCATAAAATTACTACTCAGCCAAAAATAAATAAAATAAAAATTTTTAAAATTTAATTTCTCAGGAGCTAGGTTCCTGAGAAATTAATAGCATTTTCTCCACCCCTTGGAGCACAGGATAGGAACTCAGTTTTTTGAATCATCAATTACTTGTCTCTCAGTTTAATTTTTAAAAAATTATTTGTACTTCACCAACTGATGGAGGAGGGTTTTTTCTTTAGGCTAGCATAGAAACAAAACAGACTCATCCCTTTCCAGGCTTTTTTCAGATGGTAGTTAAAGCTGAACCTGAATTAGATTCCCAGCAGAATTCTGGTAAAGAAGAATTCTCCACATGTGGGCTTCTGTTTGTGTTCAAACAAGTAAATACACCTCGGCAATTTTCTTCAAGTGTAAGAAAGTCAAGGTCATATGAAAGAGTATGGCGTGCACCCATGTCCATTTCTGATTCCTATTCTTAGCTTTGTCTGTAAAATATGGACTGTCTTGCAGAAGCTCACAAATGCATGTGACTCCAAGCATCCTGATTCTAACGAGCATGTCAGACCACGGAAACCATCCCACCATGCTGCAGATGGGATTGCAGACATGTCAAGGTTTTTGGAGTGCTTCAAAAACTCATGTAACTGTGGGGATGATCTTCCCCAGGTCCAATTTTTCTTGTTTTTATAATGATCTAAGAAGCAGAATTGTACAGCTTGTAATACAGTACTTGGCAGTTCATTGTTGAGTCTTCCAGACTGCTCCAGACATCTCTTTGTTTCCATGAAACTGAGAAGCATTTAAAAGAGACAATTAAAGTATTTGGGAGTATTTGCATACCATGATGATATCTTATTTCTGTTTGTAGAATCAGGTTCTCTACTTGGCTAGGTACTTACGATGAACTTGTATTTGGAGAGTTTAAGCTGAATGAAGCTGTTTGGCTTGTATACTTATGAAATGGCTTTAAAAATAGCAAATATAGTTCACTACAGTATATGTACTGTTTCCTCTTGTTGATGTTGTGTAGGGCCATACTCCACCGTTTTAAAGATACTACCTGACTCTTCAGAATTCAGAGCTCTGAATTCTGATTGCACACAACAGAGCATACAGTGCAAATCTAATGAAATATTTTGAGATGAATATGTAAAGTGCTTGTGCTTTTGGATGAAACAGTGAGAGAAGGCAAGACATACATTCCGATGGGGCCAGCAAAAATAGAAACTTTAGACCTCTGTGTTGAATTTAATCTGTGCACATGGACTGGTCAGTTTGAACAGTTACAAAGGAAAGCTTCTATGACATTGTTTACAGATTGCTCAACTTTAATGTCATTAACCTCCATATCTTTTTGAACAAGCAATTCTTTAAAGAAATTCTGACATTATTGGCCACCTCATTGAATTGATAAACATAGTGTGGTGTGTATTGCAACATCCTCAATAGACTGGGAGTTTGTAAACATATCTCAGCTGATTCTGAGTACATTCCTCTTGAGGGTACTGTATTTTAAGAGTTACAGCAAATGTCTTAGTTTGCTATGTGTCATTTTCTGTATCAGTGATTTATTGAAACCCATTGTGGGTTTCAATAGATAGAGTAATGGACGGGAACTAAGGGGTCTACTGTATGTTCAAATCCCTGTGTAGCCATGGAAACTCATTGGAAGAATGGCAGTGGTAAATGTATTTCTTAAATATCTCACATACATTGAAAATTATGTCGGAAGCAACCTGCTACAGTATTAGACACAATTTTCTGATTATGCTAATCAATCTATAACCATACTATTGTGTTAATGTCTCATGAAATATTGTTCCCTATCGAAAGCACTTGCTGATACATTCACTTCTCAGCATTTGCAGATTTACAGAGAAAAATGTAACCTTTGTAAAATAATGTAAACCATGCAAATAAATATTAGCATTATCCAAAGCACAGTTGATCTCTGGCAACAATATCTCTAACATTTCTCTTAAATGTAGCTCAGGTACTGTATCTGTGACTAGTATAACTTTTGGTGATAATTGCAACTAAAAAACAAATGAACAGACAAAATTCCATATCAGGAAGAATTCTTCTGCTGAAGAAAAAAAAAAAGATAGCTACAGTATTTCCCTACTTTGGTCATACCTTGCCCCATTTGTCCTTCTCACAACTAAAATTTCTTAATATCTTACAATGTAAACCTTATTAAAATTCAGACGTCCAAAAAAGGTAACCTGACAAGAAACAAGGAAATTGTTTGTTATTGATTATATGTGTGGGATTTGAAGATGCTGATGGAAGCCCACAAGCGGGAAATGAATGCAATAACACTTTCACGTGTGCCCTCAGCTACATTTTTCAGAATTTATTTGCTTCTTTTGCAGAATGATCTTACAAAAGGAGGGTCCTCGATCACTCTTTCGAGGACTAGGTCCTAACTTGGTAGGCGTTGCTCCATCCAGGTAAACCACTTTTTAAATTGTTACATAGTTTTCTAAAGAAATTGTAATCTAACAGTGGAAAGTTTAAATCCCCTTCCTTTGATGTCACTGAAATTGTGTATTTGTGTATGTGTGGTTTCTTTCTCTTGTCAGGCAATGTGAACTTGGTATCTATATGACCTTAGTGAATAACGTTGCTGTCTTTGTGTGGAAGTTGTGTAACCATACACATGCATGCCACTCAGATATGAATATATAGCATTATGCATTTGTGTATCTGTATGTATACATATTCCGTTTGATACACCTACAGTTTCTCTCATACATACTGTTTGCTGAGTAGGTACCTTAATTTAGTTAATGCTCAAGGGCCAGTCATCTATGAGTCTGGGTCCACTATCATTGAAAACACATTTTATAACAGCTCACTGGCCAGTGGTGTGCTAGTGACACCCCTTCCCCATCTTCTGGCTGAAGATTTTGAGAAATAAACAACAACCATCTTAGAAATCTAAAACACTTGTTTTTATGTAAGGAAATCAATTTACAATAATTAGTAACCACCTCCCTTAACTAGTTTGCCTACTCTTTTAAAATTTTAAAATTAGTGGCCAGCCAACAGTTCACCTCCCACCTTGCATAAATAGGTTGCCTATCATTTTACCAATATTAAGGCAATATCCAATCCCAGTTTTGTGGAAATATAGAATAGAATGTTTGGATGCACTTTAGTGTAGATAATAGATTTCCTTCTTCACCTGTAGAGAGCAATTAATGTACAGAATAAGCTGCAAAAATCAGTGTGTTGATTATAATGGCAAAAATGGAGATCAGCCAAGAAACAGTTCTCCTGTGACTAAGTCACATGGCTACATGCCCAGGTTTGCATACACACCAGAACATACTATATAATCTGTTACTGTCTGAATTAACTCCTGCCACTCTTTGTACCAAATAAGAGTCTCAGTAGGAGCCTTTCAAGAGATAATTGGTCAACAGTCTGTTTGCTTTGCTTTGTATTCCTGCATTGAGCAGGGGTTTGGACTTGATGGCCTTAAAGCCCCCTTCCAGCTCCATTATTCTATGATTCATTTTGGCAGTTCCCAATTGTAACCTACTCACTTGTATTTTGATAATGTTTTTAGATAGCAAAGACTGGTTTAGATATTGTGGGTAAAATCATGTTGCTTTAACTTAAGCCATATAAGGTTGATGACATCATCAGCTACCGTGATATTTTGGGAATTAAATTTTCCTCAAGGTTCTGAAGCTTCCCCGAGCCCCTTTCAGTGTGAGGAAGCTGTTGAGCCACTGGACAGTGGGGCAGCCATAATTCCAAAAAATGATACTCTAGGAATAGGATTTCAGTCAATATTTTCTACCTAGGTTAGCAATGGTGAACCTATGGCACGCATGCCACAGCTGGTATGCAGAGCCCTCTCTGTGGACACGCAAGCCATAAGTCACCGAATTGCTTCCCCCCTCCCCGCAGCCAAACCTCAGGCGGTGGCTGCAGCCGCAATGCTGGTGTTTTGACAGGCAGCGGGCCAGGATCCGGAGCCGGCTGCAGCTGCAGTGCTGGTGCTTTGACAGGCAGCGGGCCAGGATCCGGAGCAGCTGGTACTGCCAACTGATCCAGAGTGGGGTCTTGGGGCACCTTTGTGCCTGGGATTCCCACTTCCGCCACCACTTCTGGTTCTGCCGCAGCCCACTGTTTTGTTGTTACTTTGGTTTTTTTCCACTTTGGGCACTCAAGCCCAAAAATGTTTGCCATCACTGACCTCTAGGTAGTTTATGCATTGCATGTTAAAGAATCCTGTTTCAGTACGACTATACATAAATATTAGATGATTTTGGTAGCCGAACTGAAGAATAATGGTTCTCTTCGTTGAGTAAATGAGACTGTAGAGTACAATAAGGAACTAATATTGCAATTCTAGGCCTTGCGTGTGAAAATCAGCCTGCACGAACTGATCCCACATTGGTTTTCAACATTGCAGTCGTTCACATGTTCTCACAAATCAATTAAACTCTATTTCTGACAACTTGATAGACTTTTTTTGCTCCCTGATTTTGTACTTTGATATTATGGATGCTAAAACTGCAGGTTAAAACTCAGCCAGAGAAGAGCAGTTCTAGCTTCCATTTAAATGTTGTTTGTACTGTATAAAGCATATTTCTTGTGCAGCACAAAATAGAAATAGCATTTGTGTTAAGCATTTGAGTTAAAATAATTCACATGGTCAAAAAAGTGTCAGATACTCATAATAACTTTTGAACAAAACTTGGATAACTCAATAAACCAGGTAATAGTAAAAGCTCAGACAGTGACCTGTTTGTTTACACAGTCACAAAAGTGCAATCATGCAGGAGTTCCCCATCATCACCTCTAGCAGGATCCTTCACATGATTGGTGATACAGTGGTTGTGAAATGGGGCATACAATACATTGCATAAAGGATAGCCTTGCTGGAGCAGAAAAACGACTGCACGATTGCCCTTACCTGTATTGTTTTTCTCAGGTGGCTTTTGCCTTTTTTGTGTTATATGTCTCTTAGGTTATTTATCTTTTAGTTTGAAATGACTAATTCCTCCTTTTTACGGTCTGCTAATAAAATGTAACTAGACTTTCTCCCAGTTTTCATGCTAGACTTGTCCATTTGCCTATGCGTTCTCAGGCTCATGAATGAATATATCATGTTTTTTCTAGTCATCAAATGTAGACAAATGTGTTTGTGTTTCATTTAAACATTTACTAAGTGACTTTAACAGCATATGTCTATTTGAAGAACCTGCAAGGAAGCTTGTTTCATAACATACACCACTGATTCTGAGTTCTGTTTTGCTAATTACACCATATAAAACAGCCACTTTATCACATTCTTGTGAAAGGCCACGTGTTTGCAGAGCTAATGATGTTAACTTAATGTTCTGTTTCATAAAGGCTAAAATGGTGTTCATATCATGATCTCTGTTGATTGCAGGGTTTTGTTTTTTGTTAAAAGATGCCAATCAAGCAGTCTAAGGCCAATGTATATCTAATTAAATTTTTAACTTTTTTTGTTAATAGTAATTTTGTATTAATTGTACTCTTCATTAAATTCATCTAAAGAACTGTTAAAATGGAACTGTATGAAGTAAGAAAGTCTCCATCAAATTATTTTATTATAATTAAAATGATTTTATCCTGCCCCTTTGTGGCAAGATAACCGATATTAAAAGCTATTTTCTTAAGTATTTGGATTATTTATTATATAGTGGTGCAGACTATGAAAGCTTGATTGTTTTAAAAAGCTAAAACTGTGTTATTTAGAAATGAAGTAAAATGCTACTGTATTTACTGTGAGTTGGAAACAGCTATTTCAAGTATGTTCTGTAAGGAGTTAGGTATGTTCTGTGGTGATTGTCCTTTTTTGGCTTTTTTCTTAAACATAGGACAGTGGTATCATATCAGAACATCTTTTTCTAGCTTATAAAAATTTCAGTAGTTTACCAATTGCAGTTAGTACTACTGGGTATGACTACTGTAGAGACATCTGGAATTAATTGAATGATTCTTTAAATCCTAGCTTTAATGTTAAAACACTGCACATTTGTATCCAATACCAATGTTACAAGGACACAGTGTATTCATACAATGGCACAAGTTAGAAATTGGCAAGAACTGGTGCACCCCGCTCAGTTAACTGGCTTGCTGCAAGCATGGTTAAACATCTTATGCCACTTTCACTTATTGTCGATTTATTCTGTTGCCTAGGATTGAACAGCTTCCCTTCTCTGGTTTGTCCTTTCCCAACAAGTGTTGTTCTGCATTTTAGGACTTAGACCAATGATTCCCAAGCTTGGGTCCCCAGATGTTTTTGGATTACAAACCCCTCAGAAATCCTGGCCAGCACAGCTAGTGGCTGTTTTAGTCAAAGAACATCTATGGAGACCACTATCTTAGACCATGCAAAAAATAAAGGAAATGCGGTATATCTGCCCATTTGCAGGCACTTCCACCAGAGCTCAAAATCAAATATTTTGCAGGTTCTGAAGGGAAGAGGGAAAAAAAATCAGTTCAGCAATTACTGTGAAAACTTATTTTGTGATTAGTGTTTGACAGTACACTCTTAACAGCAAGTTCTAATGCTTACATGTCAGCAAATGTTGCTCTGAGAAAATTTGGAACCTCACAGATGGTTATGAGGGACATGTGGGGAGTTTTGTCCAGGATTTGCACTCAAAGGAATTAGGGCTACTTGTGTGTTGAACAACATATTTGGGTCTTGACAAACATCTTTATATCTCTGAGAGCATATAAACACTTTCCTTCTTTAAGTAGTAGCTGCATAGAATCCTAATTTGTACTGAAACATCACTCTTAGTATTGCTTGAATGGGAGAAGGTTGATCAGATTTAATTTGTTTTTATTTTAGAGCAATATACTTTGCTGCTTACTCCAATTGCAAAGAAGCATTGAATAATGTATTTGAACCAGACTCCACCCAAGTATACATGATCTCAGCTGGAGTAGCAGGTGAGGAACTATAACACAATGATTGAATTACCTGCAAAACTACCTAGCAGTTGAGTAGCTATAATGAATGAAACACTGCAGACATGGGGATCCATAGTACAGTAAGAGGCTACCTGGGCAGATGGACCTCTGGTGTTTTGTGTGTCTACTGCTCTGCGAATGAATGTACAGTAGTGCCTCACTTAACAACGATAACCCGTTCCAGGAAAATCGCTGTTAAGCAAAACATCGTAAAGCGAAAATAAAAACCCCATTGAAACGCGTTCAATGCGTTCCAATGGGGTAAAAACTCACCGTCCAGCGAACATCCTCCATACGGCGGCCATTTTTGCTGCCTGTATAGCAAGGAATCCATCCCTAAACACAGCGGGGAGCCATTTTAATTACCCGGCCGCCATTTTGAAACAGCCGATCAGCTGTTCTAAAAACATTTTGCGAAGAATCGGTTCCCGAAGCAGGGAACCGATCATCGCAAAGCGAAATTCCCCCATTTAGACCATCGTTTTGCGATCGCAATTGTGATCGCAAAAAGATTGTCATAAAGCTTTTTCGTCGTAATGCAGGGCAATCATTAAGCGAGGCACCACTGTATAGAATAAGTGTCAATGGATATTTTTGTGAGGACACAGTGTCTATTTTTCCCACAGTTGTAGAGCAGCAAATTATGGTGACATAATTTGAAATGAAGAAGCAGATACTGATTTTTCTGTTGCCCCGCTTTTTATTTCACAGATTTTCTTGTTCTTTTTCCTCTGGCTTCTGAAATATGCCAGCAGGTTTTAGCAGTAATTTTCTGCCCATACATTTAATGCTAAAAGTAGATATACTTTATTTAGTCTTAAATAATCTTATGTTTGTTGGCTTTGATAAGACTGAAAGCATGTAAATGTACTCTTTTTTGAAGGAGAAGAATTAAGTCTGAGAACAGAGATAAAAGTGCAATAAAAAAGTTCCAGTCATATTTTGTCAATGTCCCCCTATTACCCTTTTGAATTTAATGACAACTAATTCCAAGCAGATTTCTGTAAGATTGTTCAGTTGTAATTATTAGAATAATCACATGTTTCCATTGACAATATGGGATCTTACATGTTTTAGAGATACTGATTTCTCTTTACTAGGGGAAAAAGAGGCTTAGCAAGGACACCTACCAGCACTTTCATATTGCACTTCCACTGTGAATCTAATGTAAAAAACATATGGCCATTCACTGCAAAACCAGTTCTGTTCATTATTGAAGCAGTTCTGTTACAAGAAATCTGGGCTGACGAATTCATACAGCCATGCTGTTCCCCTGTTCTGATGTTCTTAAGTGAAAATATTACAGCTGACGAATAGACAGAGGGGAAAAAAGATAATTGTCTATCACACTTTGAATTGTATTTCCAATACAAGAGAACAGAGTTTAAATTTCAAGTAGCTGCTATCTTTCACATCTCCATGGGATATAGAATGGGAGGAGGATGGGGGTTCATTTAAAACTGTATCTCAGTCAGTTATTTGCACCAGAGATTTTGTTGATGTAAAGGCTGTTCTGTTACCTGTGTTTTTTTTTCCTCAGAAGTGTAAAGAACTATTATTTTCTTGACAAAGAGCAGAAAAGAAGATATGAACATGGATTAGTAATTTTTTTGATTGAAGGTTATTTTTTATAGTTTATGCAATATATATTGCACAGAAATGGTTATGGAAAATTAATTTAAAATTCTCTACCTCTTTTTTTTCAGAATAGATTATCTGTGTGTAGATGTGCTTCTTTGCCAAGACAAAGAAAGATGGAATAAACTAGTTCATTGGCAATCTCCATATCTACATGCAGATTAAGTTTGCAGTGATTCCTGTATTGCGGTTTTAATGCTTAAATTCTTATTAAATCCTCTGCTTAAATGTTTAGTCTATTTAACATTTAAATTTTTCAGGTTTATTGATTTCTCATTATAATATAGTTGCCACATTGAGCTAAATATATGTTTTAGTCTCCTCTAAAAATTGAACACTACCTATTTGTACTTTTGTGGCTTTGTTCTTACTAGTGGAAACTCTCCTGCTCAGGTGCTCGTGCAATACTGACGGGCATTAATGTTCAGCTTTGCAGTTATGCACGTAAACCACATGGTTGATGAAAAAAGAATGTACCGTGCAGATTGGCTGTAAAGGTAGCTATTTTTTCCTTGAAGTAGCATAGCTTTAGGTAGCTAGAAATCCAATAGACTCTCCTTTAATATGCATAAAATACATACGTTTCATTGCTTAGCCATACAACTAATATGAATGGCCATTAACGACTTAGCTTGTGAGAAAAATGCTAACCTTGTCATTTCTATAATTGCTTAAGACTTCTGTTGAATGCACTAAATTAAGCTATTAACAAATCTACTTATTGGGTTTGTTTTGGCATAAAATTCAAAGTTACTTGAACAGTTAACAGCAAATTATTAAAATTTCATGTATTTTTTTTCTAAGTTTGCTTTTTGGAATATTTACTTGTTGAAGCTTTTAAAAGGTATTATGAATTCATATAAAAGATGTCATGTGAGGCAGATGTGTTAGCTAATGCTCAGTTTTGTTATGAACTTTTTTTAAAAAAAATCTTCAGTTTAAACTAGAATCTCACAACCCTGAAATACTAAATATGGTACTTGTTTTGTACTTGGCATGTCTTGCATTATGCTATTGAGTTCAGGAAAGGTACTTTGCTAGATATTTTTCATAGAATGTTCAGATTGACCGCTGGATAGCTCAGTGGTTTTGGGAAGTTCGATTCCTCACTGTGCCTCCTTGTCAGGGGCTGAACTTTATAATCCATTGTATCTCTTCCAACTCTGTAGTTCTAAGATTATTGAAACCTATTATTTCTGTGTTATGCATATTAGAAAGGAGTTGTGAAAACTATTGCCCATTCAGATTACATCATTACATTGATGTATAAACCAGAGACCTTTATGCAGCTGTTTCAATTTCAATTTCCTTTATGCTATCAAAATGTAGTCTAATGCCCCCTAGGAAAGTTTTGCAGCACTATCATTTTGCCATATGATATATACTAAATAAGATCAACTACACCTTGTATATAGTAATAACACATCCTAGCATATTCATGAGACTGTTAAGAGGAGCCATGTATGGGATCAGAGGCAACAACACTGCATATATAGCCACCAGAGTGTTTTTATGGATAAGGGATCTTTGTGTCCTGCTTTCTGTGCAGGCAGCCTTGAGAACATAATTAACAATCTTTCCGGAACTGATCATGGTGCTTGGCCTCCCTCTAGCATTTCACCTGATCAGTTTGAAGCCTTTTTAAAATCAAAAGTGGAGGCCATCCACCAGGATCTTACCCCCTATTTGGAAACAGTAGATCGAGTTGAGACATCCAGTGGTCCATCTCGCCCGATGAGACTTAACCATTTTCAGACTGTGATGTCAGATATGGTAGACAGAGTGCTTGACTGCTGTCGTGCCACCACCTCCTCCCTTGACCCTTGCCCGGCCTGGCTAATCAAAGCAGCCAGGCCTATAACATCTGAATGGGTTACATCAATAATTAATGGGTCTCTCCAGGGGGTTAAGGTTCCCCTTTCCCTCAAGGAGACACTCATGAGGCCCGTTAGGAAGAAACCAAGCTTGGCGGCAGACAATATTGGTAATTATAGGCCTGTCGCCAATGTTTCTTTCCTTAGCAAGGTAGTTGAGACAGTGGTGGCTGATCAGCTACGGACTCTTCTGGATGAAACCAATGCCCTGGATCAGTTCCAGTCGGACTTCAGGCCACGCCATGGCATGGAAACAGCATTGGTCACCCTGTTTAATGACCTGCTGAGGGAGGCCGACAGAGGCAAAATGTCTCTGCTGGTCCTTCTCGATATCTCAGCCGCCTTTGATACCGTTAACCACGGTATCCTCCTGGGGAGGCAGTCCGAGTTGGGAATTGGTGGCCTGGCTTTGGCCTGGCTCCATTCCTTCTTGGAGGACAGTCCCCAGAGCGTGCAGATTGGAGAGAGTTTCTCGGCCCCATGGAGCCTCGATTGTGGGGTCCCGCAGGGCTCGATTATCTCTCCAATGCTGTTTAACATCTATATGAGGCTGCTGAGAGGGGTCATCAGGGGATATGGGGCTTTGTGTCATCAGTACACTGATGATACTCAGCTCTACATCTCCTTTTTTCCAACAACAGTGGATGCTGTCTCATCCCTTGAACGCTGCCTGGGGGCTGTTTAGCAATGGATGCAGGAGAACAGACTGAGGCTGAATCCGGGCAAGATGGAGGCCCTTCGGGTGGGCACCCGAAACATCAATAGTCTGGGAAACTCCCTCTCTTTTGGGGAAGTGACTCTTACCACCAAGAGCGAGGTTCACAGCTTGGATGTACATCTGGACCCGGCGCTCACCATGGAGACCCAGGTGTCGTCAGTGGCCCGTTCTGTACATTTCCACCTTTGGCGGATTGCCCAGCTGTGTCCCTATCTTGAAGTGCACTCGCCACTTTGGTCCGTGCACTCATAGTCTCAAGATTAAACTACTGTAATGCGCTCTACGTGGGGCTGCCTTTGAGACTGACGCAGAAACTCCAGATGGTACAAAATGCGGCGGCCAGACTTCTAACGGGTGAAGAGGCACCAACATATTTCCCCCACTCTGGCCGCCCTGCATTGGTTGCCCATTCATTTCCACGTTGATTTCAAAGTTCTTACGATTAGTTATAAAGTCCTAAATGGTTTAGGACCTTGATATCTGGCAGAGCGTCTTCTCCCACCCAGTTCTGCCAGAGACACTTGTTCTAGCCTGGCCGGGCGATTGAGGGGCCTAATACCAAGGGAGGACCGGAAGGAAAGAACAAGGAACTGGGTCTTCTCAGCAGTGGCCTCTCGCCTCTGGAACAACTTGCCCGTAGAGATCTGCCTGGCTCCTCTCTGGGTGTATTTAGAAGTAAACTTAAAACATGGCTATTTCGGCAGGCTTTCCCTCCTGCTTTATTTCAATATTTACAATTTTACATCTTG